ACCCCTCCCTCGGCCCGCCACTGGCAGCCACCACCATCTCTCCCTCTCCCTCTCCCCCCTCCCCCTCCTCCATCTTGACCTCTTGCAACGGCCCCTCCTCCGCTGCTGCTGCTGCCGCTGCTGCCGATGCCGCCGGTGTCTTCCTTCGTTTGGCCTTGCCGGACTCTGCAGCGGCCTCAAGAGACCGCTTCGTCGCCCCAGACGGCTCCCCGTCCTCCGCCTTGACAGCTTGGTCGGCCTCGCCACTGGCAGTGACCCTGCGCCTCCGGAGGAAGCGCCTGCCGCCGCGTGTGAAGACCTCCATGCGTTTCCTGTTCCAGTTCTCCGCCCCCTCAGTCCGGATGCGCTCCAGCTTCTTGGTGAGCAGCAGCATGCCCCACACACAGTTCTCGCCGGTGCGGCTCACATCGGCCTCCACGTAGTACTCGCCGCCATCTCCGTCAGGGAAGGGGCCAACCGTCACGGCCACCGTCTGCTTGCCGCGTAGAGCGGGGACGGCGAAGGACGCCTTCTCGCTGAGCCCGGCGTAGGCCTTCTTGTGCCGGTCTGACTGGGGGTTGCAGACGTCGCGGAAGGCCTGTCGGCAGCTGGCGAGGGCCGCGTCTGCCTCCTCCTGCGACACCAGCGGGGCTGAGGCGCTATCGTCATTATCCTCCTCTTCATCTTGGTCCTGCTGTCCTTCTGACGGCGATGCTTCTGGCTTGGCTGGTGAGGGATATCTGACCCTGGCCTCCGTGATGGCCGCGGTGAGAGCGTTGAAGTCCCAAGCGCGGCCGTCGGCGGCCTTCCGGTGCACAGTGGCCTCGACGAACCGGTCTTTCTCCTCCTCCCCCTCCCCCTGTCCCTCCTCACCGAAGGGCCCCACCCTGACGACCACGGCGTCCTTCTCCTTGGCGTGAGGGTCGTATGTGAAGGTGGCCTTCTTCATGAGGCCCTCATACACAGAATTGTAGAGGGGCTCCGACGGCCGGCAGCGGACGTTGTAGGCCTTGCGGCACGACTTGATGGCGAAGGAGGGAGAGTGCTCGATGCTGGCCCGTTTCTTCTTGTTCTTGCTCTTTGGCTGTGGCGACCATGTGCTGTCGGTGGGCCGCTTCTCGCTGCTGCCGCTAGTGGCCATTTTCTTCTGCTTGTTGGTCTTGGAGGATGGCGACGGCTCGCGCCTCTCGACGAGAATGCGCTTGCCGTCTTCGTCCACGATGGCCACCGACGGCAAGTCCAGCAGCTTGGCCCCAAGCTTCCGCACGCGCCGCAGCTTGCCGATCAGGGTGCCCATCTGCCATGCCGTGGGGCCACTGGTGGCGCGATGGAAGGTCTCGCGGATGTAGACCTGCCCGTCGCGGCCGTCAGGGAGGGGCCCGAGGGTGACAGTGATGGTCTCCTCGTGCTTGCTGTCGGTGCTGTGGACGAGGATTGCACCGTCCTTGAACTCGGCGAGCAGGGGGCTCCTCTTGCAGGACTGGTCGAATGCCGCCCGGAACTCATTGATTACCTCGTCAATGGCCCGTCTGCGCGTCATCATGGGCGACCCAGTCGCTGCAGGGGGAGGGGTGGGTGGTGGGCGCTTGGCACGACCTTCGGCGCTCTTCTCGGCATCAGCAGACCTCAGTGACTCGCCCGACGCCGAGCAGTCTCTCGGAGCATCCCTGGCCACGTCGTGTGCACTGCCCCCGCGAGCCAATGCGCGTGCGCCGACGAGCGTGCGGCGGCCCTTCCTGTTGACGAACCGCCAGGTCCAGCCCTCCTCGGGCGCCACGCCGTTGAAGCCCACTGCACGCGAGACCTTCTTGGCCAGCGGCATCCACACCCACCGTCGCTGCACCTCATCCCCGAGAAACGGCACCCTCGCCCACACTTCGGCGTATACGTAGTACTCGCCGCCCCTGCCGTCGGGGAAGGGGCCCACCGTCACCTCCACGGCCTCGTGGTAGCCGCTCTCGGGGCTGTGGGCAAAGGCGGCCTTGTCCGCAAGGCCATGGAAGGGGCTGTCGCTTGAGGCTGCCTGGCACATCTCGCGGTAGGCCTCCTGGCACAGACGCTCCAGCACTGCGGAAGGGCTCTCGTGTGGCCCCTTCGCATCAGCTGCAGCTGCAACAGCGGCCGCGGCTGGTTTCTCCTCCTTATGATCTGCCATGCCGTCGTCACCAGCGTCGCCGCCAGGTGGGGCGTCGGGTACCTCCTCGGGTGCGTCGGGTGGGCCCATCAGCTCGGCCGTGGGGCCGATCTTGGCAGCCAGAACGGTCTGGAAGGGGGCTGGCGCAGCTGCCGCAGCTGGCTCCTCTCTCTTGTCATCCGACGCGGCAGCCAGTGGTGGCGATGGAGCAGCTCGGGCGGCGCCGATCTTGTCCCTCTCGGCCTCGCCGTCCTCCCTGCCACCGCCCACCAGCGGGCTAGTGGGTGCGTCGGGGTACACTGGGGTCCTGGGCTGCGATTCTGGATGGCTGCCGCCGCTGCCCCTCTCGCTCGACTGGCCGCCATCCTGCCGCTTGTGCCTGCCGGCCCTCAGCGTGTTGACGAACTTAATGATCTGCCCGTTCTCGTGAGGTGGCGGCGCACGGGGCGGCGTGTTCGTCGACACGACGTAAGGGGGCCGCGGGGAAGGGCTAAATAAAACGCCAGCACCACCACTACCACCACCACCACCACCACCAGCAGCAGCGGCCGGGGCAGCCTCCTGTCGGGTGCCTGGGTGGTCCTTGTCCTTGTCCTTGTCCTTGTCCTTGTCTGTCTGCCTGTCTTCGCGCGGTGTGCGGTCCTTCCTCTTGCCGTTCATCTTCTTGATCTGGGAGAGCTTGTCACTGTCACGGCCGAACAGGGGCGTCTTCTTCTTGGGAGTCTGGGGCCGAGACGCCTCCCCCTCCCTCCTCTCTCCCGCCTCGGCCCCCAACTGGCCGTTGCCACCACCACTGCCGTCGCCAGCGGTCTCTTTTGGGGGCTGCTGCTGCGGCTGCTGCTGTTGTTGTGGGACAAGCAGGGGCAGAGCAGATGGCATGGCGTCCAGTGATTGTGAGGGGCGCGGCGGCGGCGGTGGGCGGGACGGCGATAGCCGTGAGCTCTCTAGCACGCCCAGTGAGGCCGCGCGCTTCCGCCCCGGGTGGTCGCGGTCGACGGATTTGCCCGGGTCGTGGATGGGTGGGCCGGGATCGGCAACACGCGCCAGGCCGGCAAAAGCCCGCAGAGGGGGCAGGGCTGCCTCGGGCGCCCCGTCTGACGTGCCGGCACGCCTCTCGTCGTCTGTCTTGTCACTGGGTGGCTTGACGTCGTCTGCTGGGTGCATGTGGGCGTCCTCGGTGGTGGGCGGACCAGGGGCCGCGGCAGCCATCGGCTCATCGGCTGCTGGGGGCGGGTGTTGTGGTGGGGCCGGCATGATCTCGTCATCGCCGCCCGTCTGGCCGACGTCGCCTTCATCAGCAGGGGGCATGGGGGCATCTGGGGCTGCCAACGGCTCATCGACGGGAGACGCGATGGGCGCGTCATCCCTCTCCCTCGACACAGGGGCGTCGATTTCCATGTCTCCTGCAGCAGCGGCAGCAGCTGGCTCCGGTGCTGCTGGTGGCTCTTCGATCAGAGGAGGGATGACTGCAGGCTGAGCAGCAGCCGCAGCAGCTGCAGCTGCAGCTGCTGGTGGTGGTGCTGCAGTAATGGCTACTCGCTGGACCACCTGAGAAGACAGAGAATGGAGACGTCGGGTGCATGCCATGCAGCCCAACCCCCTCCAAAAGGCCTGCACGCGTTACGACGTACCGATCTGAAGCGGATGCATGGCAGCAGATCAAACTTCTTGACCAGATGGTTCGGGAACCACTCGTAACCCTAAAAGATACACGCAACACACATGTGTGACACACATAGGTCGAGGGATGAACGTAATGTCAAGACGTGTCCGTGTGTGGTCGATCGATCGCATACATATGCGTTGAGTCGGTCTCCGGGGTTGTACGGGAGCCACGCGGTGCCGTGTGTCCACAGGAGATGCTGCTGCGACGGCGTGGGCAGGGGCTGCGACCGCACGCTCTCCTCGAACGTCTTGACCCGCGCGTCGTATGTCTGCCCGGCACTGAGGAGACACAAACCATACAATTAGACACAAATCATTAGAGCATGTGGCTTCGCTTACAGTCTGTAAGTCTTGGTGATGAGAGACTTTGATCGGTTATCCGCTCCCACCCTGCCGCCACTGGGGGCGCTGTCACTCTTCCCTTGATGAAGGGAGGCCACAGGTGGGCCAGCCGGAGCCGCCTTGGTGTAGATGGGCACGTCAAGGGAGCGCTGGGGGTCGATCTCGTCCAGCCTGCAGACGTAGCCATGGGTCCGCTGGGCCATCTTGAGGACCATGTTGCGGTCCACCTCTGTCAAGGGCTGCGGATACACGTCAAATATGTAGCTGTTGACACACATGTGACCCACACACAACACACAACACACGAACCAATGCTGGTATGCTGTCTGTGTGTTTGTATGTGTTGATGGAGGGTTACCTGAGTGCGGCTTCGAGTGTCTGTCTGAAGCTGTTGAGTCGCCTGGCTTTGGCGAAGAGCTGGAGCGGTGGATTGGGCGTCTCCCACCACTTGAAGGGGATGGTCTGGGTCTCCTTCTTGACGTGGCGGCTGCGGTGGGGCAGCACCGACTCCTCCAAGACAGACTGCAGGCATGAATGCATCAAACAATCGCAAAGGGAAAAACACGATGCCCATTCATTCTTCCTCCTCCTGTGTGCGGATGGTACCTTTCTGATGTTGTCCAGGTAGCTGGCGGCAGCCTGTGTGCGGGCCGCCTCGTCCTGGATGGGCAGGTCGTCGTCATCCTCAAGCTGATACTGACATGTCAAACATACACACACGGGCATACACACAGAGACTCCAGTCCAGCCAGCCACGGATGTGTGTGTGTGTGTGTGTGGATGGGCGAGGCGCACTACTACCGAGTAGATGTGTGCCATGAGGTGGAAGGCAGCGTCCATGAGGTCGTGTGCCCGCAGCACCCGCCACTGCTGAATCCGCTTGCCCGTCGTGTGGTCGAACCAACGCGCGCTCTGCATCGGCTCCCAGTTGCCGTCTGCTTGCAGCAAGACATACACGCACACGATTGATTGCTTGTATGCTCTTCTGTCTGTCTGTCTGTCTGTCTGGGTGTGTCTGTATGGTACCGAATGATGGCGCCGTGGGTATGCCCTCCTGGACGGCGGCCTGCCACACGTACTGCTGCTCGTCGGGCTCCCACACCAGCCAGTTCGCCCCCAAATCAACCTGACACCACACAACACACAGCACACTCGCCACACGTGTCGATGATGCTGGATGGATGTGCTGATTGGTTGTCTGGCGGTCGGGTGGGTGGGTGGGTGGTATACCTTGGCCTCGTCCAGCCCCTCAACGGCAGGAAAGGTGTGAGTCAGCACACGACCACCGTACCTACAAACCCACACACGTACATCAAAGACAAGGAAGCGACAAGAATGACACACAGTGGGGAAAATGTGCATCCCTCGCAAGCTGACCTCTCCCTGGCCTCGAGGATGAGCACCGAGAAGCCCCGCTTCCTCAGCTGAGCAGCCGCACTCAGCCCCGCCACTCCAGCACCAACAATTATCACATGATGGTCCACACCATCAGGCAGACGCGGCGGCTCAAACGCACTGTTGTGTCCAGGATGGGGCGGCCTCGGTCCCTTCACTCGTGGCTTGTTCCACTTGTGAACGATCTCCTTGGGCGCGGGGCGAAAGTCACTGGCAGGGATGGGCAGCGGGCCGCCCTGCCGTGTGCGATCATAGTGGATGAGGAATGACATGTGCTCGTCGGGCTGCTCCCGATGGGCCATGAAGTCGTCTTCCTGGTAACCCACGTCGGGAATCCTCCGTGCCGAGTCAGCCCCGCCCCTCGGCGACCGCATGCCGCCCTCCTCACCGGCACCACCCCTCCCCTCTCTCCTCCTCATGCCCTTGACGCTCCGGTCGGTCTTGTTGAGCCATCTGTCGAGCAACTCCTCCTCGCTCTCGTCGCTGCCGTGGTCGCTGAAGTAGGGAGGGGCGTCGGATGGGACGTCCAGGTCCGATGGCAGGTCGTCCTCCTCTGACGGGGAGGGGGAGGGGGAATTGGGGGCGAGGGGCGGGAGGAGGGCGTCAAGGTCGTCAAGGTCGTCAAGGACGTCGGGCAGGGCAGCCGCAGCAGCTGCGCTAGACGCCTCACCTAATGATCAATAAAAACACAGACAGAGAGACAGACAGACAGACAGGATATCCTCAGACCCACACACCACACCCCCTCCAGTAGTCTATCTAATCTATCGCCCATTCCAATGATTCCCACCTGCGTCGGTGTGGTCAGGGAATATGGCCATGGCTCTGTGCACCTCCAGCTCGTCCCACACGAGCTGCTCCATGTGGTCCAGGAACCGATCATAGTTGTCCAGCTGCTTCGAGTGCCGCATCCTCTCAATCGCCTCCTCGCCGCCCCGAGGCGTCCCATCGGCACCTGCCAGCCACTTCCGATAGGTCTCGTCAAGGGTCTCCCCCGGCACCAGGGGGTTCCGCTGTGCCCCGTTGGGAGCGATAGATGGGTCTGGCTGATGAATGCCGCTGTCCTCGGCCTCCATACGGTCCATCTCGTCCATCTCATCCATCCTCGCGGCTGGCGTCAACGATCTCACAAGGGGGAGGAGGGCGAGGGGAGGGAGTGGTCCGTCGATAAGCTGCGGCTTGTGCTGTGCTCACAGGGTCAGATGCGGCCTCTCACGCGGCCCTGCCTATGGATAGACACAAACTGACGTCAGCAAGTGCCGTTTCTCTCTGAATTCATTGCTCTCAAAACTCCGTCGGGTGCTGCGTGCTACGGAAGACCAAGAATACCGAGAGGATGCCGCGAATCGTTTGCGAGCCACATGGCATTGCGAGCTTGGGGAAGAAAAGGGAACGAAATGGCTTCCCCTGTTAGTCCCATCTCCCTCCCTCCCTATCCCCAGCCGCACGTGGCCAAGACCACGCCCTCGTCCTCACGCGACGCCGCGAGCCACCACTTGATGTCATACTCTGATCTGGAGCACGTCCGCACACTCGCAGACGGATGGCAACGTTCTCTCGATGTGAGTAGGCAGGCCACGGGAGAGAGAGGGCGGCAAGAGGGATCACCGAGAAACTCATGCGGATTTGCTTGCCTGGTTGTTTGTTTGTTTGTGTCAGACGTGCATCGAGTACTGGGAGGCGGGTCTGCAGGAGGAGGCGGGCCAGATGCTCTCCAAGACCAAACAGGAGATGGACTTGTTCTTCGTAAGCACCCAAACACACACACACACAACACACCACACAAGAGTGAGCACCTGTTGCTGTTGTGCGTTAATTGCGCAGGAGGAGGTGACGAAAGCGACACCGTGGGAGCACGTGTCGACCCCCAAGAGCGGCGTCATCATCGAGGACGCCTCCGAAGACAAGACCATCCGCGAGTCCAACACCTGCCGATACATTCTCAACCTATGCCCCATGCCACAAGCGGCAGACGGGCGACGCCGTCCCAGGGGCGGCAAGGGCCCACGGGCGATGCACCCGGTCTTCCAGGACGAGGCGCTCGTGGACATCCTCAGTGCCCTCTGCCAGCGGCTCAATGCTTGCCCCGTCCTCGCAGAGATCCGCCTTGCGGAACAGGCAGACGAGGAGATGCTCCTGGAGGAGGCCAAGGCAGGCGTGCGCAACGAGGAGACCCCCGAGACCGCCGACACGCCGTCCCAATCCTTTGTGGCCGATGGGGCGGGCGGGCCGCCATCGCCGCAGCTTGACCCCTTTGGATGGGATCACCGGATGTGCGAGGCGGAGAGCGAGGCAGAGGAGTTCCGGGAAGGCGGCTTCCGGCTGATTCGGCCGATCCGCGGGTGCGACGAGGACAGGGAGCGTCGTGAGGGGTTGGAGGATCTGGAGCGGCTGATCGGCGAGGTGGAGTGGCTGCTCGAGGCGGAGCAGGTGACGCTGGCCTACAAGCGGCTGCAGGCCCTCAAGCGGCGGACCGTCGAGCACCTCAAGAAAACGGGCGGCGGCACACCCACCCCCTCTTACACCTTCCTCTCGACGAGCCATAGCCAGCCGCCCTCGCCCACCCTGTCATACGGCCATGACGGATCCCCACAGCACAGCCCCACCCACCACGGCAGCACGCGACGGCGAAGGCCCAACCTGCGGTCGCAGCTGGAGCGGCTGGGCGTGGCAGGGGCGCACAGGAAAGTGCTGGACGAGAACACTGTCAAGAGGCTCAACTACCGGATGGCCCGCATCGAGGGGGTCAACGAGCTCATGATGGCCTCGCCAACCGACCAGGCTTGGCGGGCCGTCTCCCACGACGCATACGACTTCAGGTGAGCAAGAGAGAGAGGAGAGGAGAAGACACATCGATGACAGGGATGGGATGGATGTGCCTGCTGGGCGTCCGTCCACTCTGTGTGTATGTTGGGTATGTATGTTGCAGATGGCGTTTTGACGAGGACGGGACGGCGATAATGATGATTGAGGGTGTGCTCAACTCGGACCTGTTTTCGATCATGTGTCTCATCTACGAGTGCGACTACCACAACAAGTGGCTGCCATTCCTCACCGAATCGTCCACCTACCACATAGTCGGACGCCTGCAACAAATCGTGGTCCACGGGTCAGTGAGCCAGCCAGGCCACACAGACACACGCACACCCACCCCCTCCAGTAGCGACCTGCCTGCCTGCCTGGCTGCTTGCCTCAATCAGATATGCGCTGCCGTGGCCGTTCGAGCCGCGTGAGGCCGTGGCTTATGGGTTTGGCACAAACGCGCTGGAGGACCCCGACTTCCACTGCGTCATGGTGGTGGCGTGGAGCGTGCCCAACGAAAAGACCTACTGGGACGCACCGGTGCCTGGCGCGAGGGACGGCGTCATCAGAATGAATGTGTAAGCCCTTAAGGCACGACAAGGAAGGCAGTGAAGTGAGTGAGCATTGCACCTCCACGCCTCCCTCCTCGTGTGTGTGGGTGTTCAGTGAGCATTTTGCGTACTACTTTTACCCCGAGAGTGAGAAGTCGACTCGCATGAAGGTACTGCTCAAGATCGACCCCAAGATCGCATTCGTCCCACTGTGGTAAGTGTGGGCAGACACACACAGACACACAGACAGACACACAGAGAGGGTCAGAGAGCAGACTGAGACGCGCCAGACCTCTCTGTCTGGTTTGTGTGGCTGTATGTGTGTGCAGGTTGCAGAACTACATAGCCCGCTTCATCTGCCAGTGGATGTTCAGAAACATCCTCAAGTACGTGGCCGCGCGCAGAGAGGCTTCCAGGAACACATACGCGCCCACATGTGTGTCTCTGTGTGTCTTTTTTGTGTGCCTCTGTGTCTTTTTCCCTGTCTGCTATATATAGGTGCATCAAGAACTTCAAGGGCAGCGTGTGGGAGAAGCGGATGAAGGAGCGGCCAGAGGTGTACGAGTGGATCAGGCGGGAGGTGCAGAAGTTCTACGAGAGCGACACATTCAAACAGAGGAAATGTGCGGCAGCCAGCACAGACACCAAGGGCAAAGGGGGCAGGTAGGAAGGGTTATATTATTGACGGAGGAAATTGACCAACCAAGGAGGGAGTGAGGGAGGGAGGGAGGGAGGGAGTGGGTCGCTGGTCGGTAGGTCGGTGGGGGGTGGGTGGTTTTCCTCCTTTCAGTTCGTTTCACACACATTCCATACGCACACTGCTGCTGGTTTTGATGATGATGATGATGATTTGTGAAGGTTGCGTGCCCATCCCCATCCTTCCGTCCATCTTGATCAAAGTGCTTTGTGTGTCCCATGGTGCCTGCCTGCCTTCCTGCCTGTTCGCACAGGGGTACCACTACAGTTGCTACGCGCCTTCTGGCCAGCTTAGCTGTGAGTGGTACGCTTATGACCGACCCATCCATCAGATCGACCGATACCCAATTCATAGAGTGAGCCTTTGCTTTTGCCACGTGTCTGTCCAAGTGAGTGTAGTGTGCCGGTTCAGTCGTGTTGCGTTCGTTCGTCGTGCTGCGGGGCTGTCAAGCGTGAGTGCTTTGTCTCACCTTTTTCAATGCCTGGATGCCACTGTGAATGGATGCAATGATTGGAATGGAATGGAATGGGGTGTAGTGAAGGTGGGTGAGGGAGATGTGAGAGGGGGGCTGTGCGGGGTGGGGGGAAGAGGCTGTGTTGTGGTATGGTGAGACGGGGTGGTGGTCACTTGAATCTGCGAGTGAGCTAACCAGCCAGCCATAGTGGGTGGACGCGATGCAGTGTCGATGGATGGCATGGGTCTGAATTTAGAGTGTGTGACGTTGCGTGGGTTCAGTCGTTCCCTGGGTCAAGGAAGGAAGGAAGGAAGGACGGACAGCCAGGCAGTGTTAGACAGTCAGCCAGGTCCGGTCTGCTTGCTGTGTGCGTCGTTTTGTATCTCATGACATACATGCATGTATGTTCGATCGACATGGTACCTATCGATTTGTGCACTGTGTGCAATGCATTGCATGTACCTATCAAGATCGGAAAAATACCTGTCTGACATGACAGCCAGCCAAAGTGAAACCTGTCTGGTCCATACGTAGCTGTACAAGGGTGCATGCAGCGACCATCCATCCAACCAGCCCCCCTTTCCCCCTCCCCCGCCACCAGCAGCCACTCTCTATCCCAAGCATCACTTCCGCTCACCCAACAAACCAATACACCCACCCGTGGGTTCACCCCTCCTTCAGTTCCACATGTCGCGGCGCATCCCTCCAGTTTTACATGTCGCGGCCCTGCCCGTCATTTTGCGGTTCTTGGTGGCGTGCAGGGCCTCGCGCTCCTCGGCAGCCTTCCTGATGTTCTCGCGCATCTCGCTCCTCTCCTCGGCCGTCAGCTGAGGGGGCGCCTGTCGATGGACTCCGACGGCTGCGATGGACCCGCCCGGCTGCCTCGGGGGGTCGAAGTCGCGCGGCGTCGAGGCGGTGGTTGTCAAGGCGGTGGTTTGTGCCACCGTCGACGCCTTCTGAGTGGTGGTGGTGGCGACGCAATGGATGAGCAGCGCGACCCCAAAGAGCACCCAAAGCGCCAACGCAACGGCGAGGATTTCCCACACCATGGCCGGAAACTGACCAAGGACGACAATGGTGGGTGGTCTGCCGTGGTATGGCTGTAAATTCCAGCCTAAAGGGGTACTATCGCAAGCTGACGTGTGATTGTTGGGATGGTTGGGTGTCAGTCAAAATTTGCGGCTCGGTTTAGGGCCCTTCTTTTCCGTGAAATCGCCGCGGGCGGAGAAGAGAGGAGACGAGAGCAAGACAAGAGAAAATGGGTCTTCTCCCATGTCTAATCTCCCACCGACAACCCTCGTCCCTATTGCCTGAGCATCTACACTCGAGAATCTGAGTCACAATGCCGTCTGTGGTGTATGTGGTGGACGCTGAAGCCCCTCAGCTGCACAACGAGGAAGCGTCTCACACTGGTGCTGCGGCCAAGTGCGCTCCTCCCGTTCTGCCTTTCGACTTCTTTGGGTTGAAGGTTCTTCTGAGCAAGCCTTTGACCAGGGTGAGGAACACGCCACACGAATGCACGACAGGGTTCATCCTATCCCGTGCTTTGTCTTTGGTCTTTGTTCTGCCTTCCTTCTGCCTTTAGGTCGAGGGCAGTGACTTCTATGGGTTCATCTTGACCCACCAGCTGCTGCTCTTGGCTCCGGTGGTCTTCGCGGTCCCCCAACACTTCCGTCTTTATGACACGTACTACTACTCTGACATCTACTATTTTTATGAGGCCCCATTAGCCCTCATCATCGGCCTCTCTATCGCAAGTTTGGTCCTCTTGGCCTTCTGCTGCTGGTCCTTCTTCGCAAGGATGTCAGTCCTGGCGCCTCGCAGCGGTGCGCACTTCCCTCACAGCAAAGCGGGGTGGCAGCTGACGACCCACATCATCCAGCTAATCCTACTCAGCAGTTTCCTTTATTTCGTTCCGTGGTTTGACGTACTTGTCTCGGCGATTCTCTCTGAGGCTCGCTGGAACAACAATGCCCCCTGGGTCCTGTGGGTAGTTTTCACGCTCGTCCCCATCGGTGTTGTGGGATTGTGGGTATTGCTTTTCGTGCTGGTCACTCGGTATCTGGGAACGTATGCCATCTCGGGGGAGCATGCGACTGCACTGGCCATGGCCTGGAGCACTGTGTACTGCGACACTATGCGGTGTGTCGCTGTGCCCTTTCTGTTTGTGGCGGCACTGTCTAAGAGTTCCTACTCACTCCTCTGGGTTTTCGGTCTGGCCATGGCCTTGTGCTTGATCGTGGTGCTAATCCGTCTGGTGCTGTCGCTTTTTTCGGCGAAGCCCGCTTCATCTCATGGCAGACCATTGCCCGCAGCCCCTGCTCCGCAACCATATGTGTAGGAGCGGTGAGATGGATGGATTGGTGGGCTGCTTGTGGGTCGTGGTAGTCCGTGAGTGAGCAGCGTGCATCTTTGGTGAAGTACGTCTGTGTGTGTCCATGTGTGCGTACAGCTGATGTGGTGGATACTGATGTGTATTTGTGTGAGTGTGTGAGTGGATCGGCTACGGGCCTGCTGGCGGCCGACTGGGATACAAGCGGCAGATAATTCATGCTGCCGTCTGTCGATAGGTCTGTCGGCCTTCGTGTTGGGTGCTGCATGTCTTGCCTGCATGATGTCTGGAGCAGAGACGTACGTGACCTATGGTGCAGCGACTGTATTGATTGCAAGCTGACGCGTCGATTGGTGGTGTGGATGCGTTGGTTGTCAGTCAAAATTGAGACGCAGGCATGAAGATCAATCCATCTGTCGATGCAATGCATGCACTCACTCGGTCTGTCATGTGTGTACAAGGCCGCGTCTTCCGCTGCCGCTGCCACACTGGCCCTCTTCTGTCAGTCATCAGCCCGACTTCACCTGAAAAATACACAGACGTCCATCCATTGATTCACTCACTCATCCGTCTTGCCCGGTGCCACCCACCCACCTCATAGACAGCGATCTCCTTTGCGGTTAACATGTCGTCCGCCGCCAGTGTGCCCTCGCCGTTGCTGTATTGCTCCCCGATGTAGCCGGCCGGTAGGTCATCGTTCTCCACCCACTGATGCATCCTGCGCATTCATCTACAGTACAGCTCATTCATCGACAGTGTCCTTTTTACCCTTAGACAAAGCGGTACCTAGACAATCTTATGTGGACACAACGGTGGCACTGGCAGTCGAACTAATGGCTGTGTCCCTGAGGGATTGTCATGGTAGAACTGCGGTCCCGCGTACACAAACAGAGCAGGATAAAGCGGCGAGAGGCCCAGCAACACCGCGTGAGTCAGCAACATCCCCACCGGCGCCGGCAGCCGCTTGTCGAGCTTGAGCCGCGCCTCCAGATAACATCCGACGCCGTTGAGAACGAAGAACATCAACGCCGGAAAGGGGCTCGCACTGAACGTCACGACGGCGACGTGCATATGCAGAAGTCCACTGACGAGGAAGGCAGCCATGGCAGCGCCGGCCGAGGAGAGGCCGGGTTGCTCCTTGAGCGGTGTGAACACGGACTGGTGCAGCAGGGTCGATACCAGGCGGTTGTATCGGCGGCCCCAGAACTCTCGGAGGGAGGTCGACGTGATGGCCCAGTCGTTGAATGGCAGCATTTCGTAGCGGTCCAGGCTGAGCAGAGATACCAGTGCCATCTGCATGTCCTGGACGAACGTCATCGAGAAGAGATTGACGGCCCAGATCAGCATGAATTGCAGGGTCAGCCAGTAGTCGCTGCGAAGAGCATTGCCGCCTCCTTCAACGCCTTCCAGACACCCCACAAGCCATTCCTCCGACATAGCTGCAATCGACTGTTTCGCCAGCGCCCCGACAGCGAGCGTCGCAGTGTCCAGCAGCCAGGCAGGCCGAGATCTTGCAAGGTGATCACCGCCTTCAGCCGCTTTGCGCCGACTGATTGGCAGGAAGAACCAGAGAAAGCCCAACGTGTAGTCAGTCAGCTTCAGGTGACTTCGAGCTTCATGTGGCAGCATCACTTGGTGGACCAACCGAATAGATAGCATCCACAGCAGGGAGCAGGTCATCATGGAGACCACCGAGCCGCTCTCGAGGTCTTTGCAGCCGAGGAAGATGAGTAAGGTCGTCATCGATAGCGCCAAACCGCCTCTCATCCAAGCATTGGTGAGACGACGCACCACGAAGTAAGAGAAGGCCAAAAGGGCGACGCAGGCGATTGGGATGCTGTATGCGAGGGTCATGCTCACGACATAATGTAAGCGGGGCAGATGCGCAAGTGGGTCAGCTGTGTACTGACCCACTTGCACTTGCGCGGACTGGACTGGACTCATCACGGTCAACCACGACTGCCGACAAGCGATGCCATTTCCTGTCGTTGATCAGTTCATTCCAGCTCGCCATCCCTCGGCTTAGCTCGCATCCGCGGGAGAGATCTTTTTCACCGTCAGTGAGGTGGTGGTGTTTGTTCTGTGTGTCTGTTGCAGTGCTTCTCGACGAGCGGGGAAGGGAAGGATATGGCGCTTCCTCCCTCCCTGTCGCCCTCGAGCATTCTGCACTTCTGGTTTGGCAGCATGTGTGACACTGAGCTGAGGGACCCCTCCCACTGCGGCGTCTTAACGACACGGTCGGGCGCTGCAGCGATGCATTGTACCGCCTGAAAGAGGAAGATGCGTACAGGCATGCAATGTGATGTGTGGCTTGTTGGTTGGTCTGGTGGCAGGGGCTGCTGTTCGTGGGGCTTCAATCCGCTTCCTAGCTTCGAGAAAGCCCTGCAGGAATCCGCACACCTCATTACGTGGGTGGCAAATTGGGAGGGCAGCCGACCGAGACAGACAGACAGACAGACGCGTGTACCCTTGCGCATCTATCGTCTGCTGCAGTGCGGTGAGCAATGGTGTGGGCGGCGATGAGTGGACGAGTGCCTTTGGCCTGTTGGCGCAAGTCATCGTGCTTGACCAGTTCACTCGCAGCATACACAGAGGTGGGTCAGTCAGCCGACACACATCATCTGACTGTCAGACAAATCATGTCATGGCTCGTCTGTGTGTCTTGTGCATGTGTGCAGGAACGAGAGAGGCGTTTCAGCACGATGAAAGGGCCGTCGAGCTTTCGCGGCAGGTAGGTACATCATCCCTGCCATGGACCGACCATTCACTCTGTCAGTCATTTCATGGTCTCTTTCGTTCAATTGCGCAGATGGTCGACTCTGGTTTGCTGCATCAGCTCAAGGGATGGCAGAAACAATTTGCAGGTGGTCGAGTGAGTGCAAGAGGGAGACGCATGCCAGCCGGCGTGGCGTGGGGTCGGACCAAAAGTGCTCTGTGTATGTATGCCCCCACCCCTCAGTGATGCCGCTGATGCACTCGGAGTGTCTCGACGACCAAGACCTACGTAGGCAGGCCAAAGGACATAGTTGCATAATTGTGGCCACGTTGGTGTCTGCTGGTTGTTCAGTGGTGTCGCTGCTCACCGAGTGGTCGAAGAGTGAGCCGCTGTTCAGACGACAAATCGACTTTGCCAAGGCACACAGGCATGATTGCATGCGACACACGCACACACATAACGTCATTCGGGTTTCCATAATCGTTTGTGCAGGGATGTGGTTGGGCGTTTCGGTCGCAGGCCCCAGCGCAACTTCGCGTTGAACCGGGAGTCGACGGCCGAAGAGCTGGCATGGTTCGTCAGTGACGAGATGCCGCAGTGGTGCGTCACACAGATTCCCAAACAGACTTTGGAGAGACTCAAGGCAGACAAGGACAAGGGAATGCTGAAGTGACGCGACGTTGGTTTGCACTGATGGACACTTACTTTTTCCGCGCGCCGATGACACTTGTTCTCGCGCTGAGGGATGGATGGATGGATGGGCTGAACTGTGCTGTTGGTTTACTCTTTTGAGTACACAAGCGACGCAGATGGGCAAGCTGCCGGGCGCGGGCGGGTATGGGTGTGCGTGTGAGTCAGCCTGTGTGGCAAGCGTCCACACACATAGAGACGCATGTGTAGTGCATGTGCTCACCAGCTTACAGCTGTTTGACACTTGATGTGTGCCTCTCAGTTCACCAATTCAATTGAGAGACGGCCCATCCTCCAACAGCCATGCAGAGGCAACACCATAGGCCAGCGCACATCACATACAAAAGGCCCTCATCAGTCTTGGCGCTCACGCCCAGTGCTCTCCTGTCCACTCCACCAATGACTGCTACCCTACGTCCACCAGACTGAATGGCATACGTCTGTCTGTGTGTCTGTGTGTCTGTGTAGGCGACACACGAGAGAGAAACTATACACACACAGGTGTGTATGCCCACTGGTCAAGCCAGCCCGCGATACGATCCACCACACGAAAAAGGCAAACATGCCCGACCGATGTGTCGACGGCCGGCCTATCGCCACTGTGGCCAAGGCGGCAAGGGTATACAGGGTGGAAAAATGAGCTGCAGCATTAGAGTGGCGCCACCATCCCTCGCCCGGCCACGCATTTTACTCAGTCAGTCTGATCCGCAGCGGGCCGCTCGTAGGGCCTGTACTTGATCCACGCAGCCTGCATGTCTTTGGCGCTCAACGGAAGAGGCTCGCCGCCTGGTGGAGTGGACACACCGCAATGAGGGAAAAGAACGGGTGATCAGGACTTCTTGCTGGGTCTGTGTGGTGTGTGTGGTCTGTGTGATGTGTGAGTACATACCGGGGGGGAAGGCCTCGCAGTGCTCGACACACTTGTCCAGGAGCGAGTGCATCTCAGACACAGACTTGGCCCTGATGAATAAAGCAATAAGCCACATGAACGCATCTATCTAGTGAGGGCACGCGGTCAGTGGTGTGCTCAGCCACGCACACCCTCCCTCCCTCCCTCCCTCACTTGTATCGCTGTCCGTGGCTGGGCAGCACCCACAGGAAGGAGAACTGCTTCAGCACCCTCACCGACTCAATCTGCGTCGACCAGTCGTACCAGCAGGCGGCTCGCAAGCAGGTTAGCGATCGGCTGCGGTGCGAGTAACCCAGGTGGTCGCCGGTCATCAACAGGCGATCCTTGTACAACACACACTGACACCAAGAACCACACCATTTCATTTGTCCCACTCTGCTCTGTCCTACTTGACCACTCCCACCCCATTCAATCAATGCATTCGCTCACCATGTGACCTTTGGTGTGTCCCGGCGTGTGTACGAGCTTGACGTCTGGGTCGCCGTCAGGGAGGGATGACACTGGCCCCTTGCCACGCACCCAGTGCTCCAAGCCATAAGTAGACTCGAAGTAGACAGACAAGTAACACGCCTGAGCAGACAGACAGAGCCGAAAGAACGAAAGGAAGGACCGACCAGGTTGGCATGGTGGTCCATGCCAACATCCATCCATCAACCGGGTGCACCACCCGCAGCCCGTGCATTCATATCGCACCGCACCCACCTCGTCTGAGTGCAGCACCCCTTCGCACCCCGTCTGCTTCCTCCAGAAGCGGAGGCCGCTGATGCTGTCCCTGTGTGTCATAATCAGGTACTTGACGCCACCTTGCTGCATGACGAAGTCCACCACCTGCTTGGCCTGGCTGGCGGGCTCCACCATGATGTTGCCCCTACCCTCACGGACGATTAGGTAGCTCTCTGAGCCGATTGGGGGGGTGACGGCGCCCAGGCAGTAGAACTGATAGCCGTCGCCCGAGTCAATGAGCTCGGGGAAGCCCTCCCACTCGCTGGTCTCCTGCATGAGGGCGGCGGGCAGCTTGGTCCAGTGGATGGCCTTCGGGGGACAACTGACAGCGTTAGCGAGGGAACGAGTGTGTTAGTGCTGGCGTGTTGGTACAAGAATGTGCTCGTGTGTGAGAGATCTTCTTACTTTTCACTGCTCGTCTCGTCTGAATGAACTCTTCGCGCGTGGAGGGCTGCTTCTTGACGTATGCACCTGCAGACACACACACACATCCATCCACCATACGAACGAGCAAGTACTGAAGTCGGTCCACCTATCTGCCCTCTCCCGCTTACGACTCATCTCAATCTCCCCAAATACAGACGGGCATGCGTTGCGGCAACATCCGAGCCCCATACAGAGGTCAACATTCACCTTAACAGCACCGTACTCGCCCGCGGGCGGCGCGGCAGGTTGCTGGATCTTGTACTTCAGCAGCTCCTCCTGCTCCCTCCTCGCCGCACGCCTGCATGTCAGCATGCGAACGACAACCAACGGAGTCATCTGACGTATCGCTTTTGCCACCAGGTGTTCACCGACGTACCATTTGCTGTGGATGTAGAGGAGTGCTGAGCCAGCGCCGACGGCAGCAGCAGCCAATGCTGCGTAGCGCCAGTGTTTGTCAGCACTCTCGGACGACATTGCACCAACTGATGCTTTTGCCAGAGTCGCTCCAGCAGATCAGTCCAGTCCAGACCAGATCCCTTATTCCAAACAGAGGAAGGCGACAGCACGGCTCCGCCGAGCTGTGGAATGGCAAAGACTTGGTGTGGACGTTTTCAGCTCGCATTCTCCTTAAGTTTTCTGCCATTCAAGTCAGGTAGGTGGAGCCGTGCTGTCGCATTCCAGACTTGTGGCATAAGCCACGAGATCTGCGCTGGAGGAACTTCGCTGAGCTAGCATCCGTCAGTTCTGTACCTCTCTTCTCTCTTTGCAACGGGCCCATTTTACCCTTTCCAGAAGCTCGAGATCAACCGTCGAGATTTTCGCACAGACAGAGACGGCAAGGAGGACGAAGATTCAACTTGGGGCGAAAAGAGGCCTCGGAAGGCGGGCAAGCTGGGACGCGTGAACCTGACGGAAGATCTGCTGGCGCAGCAAGAGCAGGCAAGGAGGTTCATCTTCTGCTGCACCCCTCGGGGGCCGCCAAAGGATGGCGTACCGAGGACGGCACGGATCGACTGGCGGCCAATGATTCAACGTCGGGCAAGACTGCAGTACGAGGGCATCCCCGCCAAAAAGCAGACTCTGACCAAGACTCTGACCCACCAATCGACCAGAATGGACAACAACCGCACGATAGCTGCCTCGTTATTTCATCGTGGCCGTCTCCCCTAAGCTTGTCTGCAGGAGGTGTTGCTGCTGGCTCGAATTGGCATTCTTTGGGCACCTGCCTTGTCTGCGTTTGGCACAGAGAAAGTGTCACTCAAAGTGAAGCGGTTATGGCGAAGCTGAGCAGCCGTGGTACACAAACGCTGCATTCGTATGCCCCTTCACACAACTCTGCTGTGCCACATCAGGGGCTGCCAGCCTACGAGGACAGAGCCAAGGTGGTCTCACCGTCATCACTGGCGAGACAGGATGCGGTAAGATGAGCCAGCACTGCTACTGTGACGAGATAGACGTCTCCGTCGTCACTTTCCTTTCACTGCAGGCAAGACGACACAGGTGCCCCAATACATCCTGGGAGTGAGTTGTTTGCACTCATCGATGTGCTGCCGTATATGTGCGTCCGTGTGTGTGCGGTGTCTGCACAGGCCTGGGCGGACCGCGGCGAGGGAGATGACCTCAATACCATGGTCATCCAGCCTCGCCGGTCAGCAGAGGGTGTATGAAGAGTGAGACAGGCAAGCCACACTCAATGCGGCTTTCTGTGGCCTTGTTGTCCTTTGTTTGCAGCCTGGCCGCCACGTGTGTTGCAGAGCGCGTCAGCACAGAGCTTATGGGCACTGTCGGGGGAGCTGGCTGGCTACAAGATTCGGTACTACCTACCGAGTGTAGTGAGGGCGCCTTTGCATCTCAGTAGATATTGTGCCTCTCCCAGACATGCCAGCAAAATGGAGCGCGCAGACCAAAATTCTCTTCGTCACCACGGCATCGCCCTGCTGAAGTGAGGAAGCGCCCGTCATCATTCATCATTTTGTGCCTCATTCCTCACTTCAGCATTTTGTGAGTACAGAATGATGGCCACGTCTTCCTGGATGAAGTGCACAAGCGGTCCTCCTCAAAGCACTGAAGGATATCCTGGAGGAGGTGACGGCCCTGCTTGTTCGCTCTCTATTCTGTCGCTGGATACTGTGTCTTTCTTCTGTCGTTTTTAGCGTAGTCCTTCTGTCCGCCACAGTCAAGGAGAACGAAATCAGCGCCTACTTCGACTCGTGAGCCTCATGTAATGTCATGTCTCCTTGCGTACAAATGGCGTTTCGCACATGTCTCATTCTTTTTTGCGCAGTGCGCCGATTCACTTAATGCGCGGCCGCGCACACATCGTCACGCAGAAATACCTGGAGGTGAGGGCAGAGAAAATTACCCCCAACTCACTGTCTCTTGAATCGGCACTCTGCAAAACATGAATGCAGGACGTGATTGAGGAGACAGGCTATTACCATGAGGGTCCGTACGCCGACAAAACCGCGCCGGACTGCACTCTTGATCATTTGAGAGGGTGTGGAGCGACGTCCATGCAGAGGCTCTAAGACCAACCGCGGCAGGATTACCGAAAAAGCAACGGAGAACCATACCGCGAGTACACACTACTGCAGCTGCTCCGCCGGAAGAGAGTGAGACACATACATCGGTGCACGCACTAATACACAGACCGCCTTGCCACCTGTTTTGCCCTTTACAGAATATGAACATCAACACCGCGCTGATTCGAAGACTGATAGTCCACATCTACAACTCTACGCCCAGCACAGAAGCCATCCTCGTTTTCCTCCCGGGCGCAGCCGAGATTGAGGCATGCCTCAAGTTCGACTTCCAACGACATCTTATCGGCAACCAACAAGCGCCCGACTTTCTGCTGCTGCCCCTTCATAGCCGTCCTTCGTCTGAGCAGGAAAACAGAGCTCTACAAAAGTAACCAGACGGTACAATAAAGAAGGATGCCTGTATTGTTGTTTTGGTCGTCCAGGCGTGAGCTACTTGTGATATCATGGCGACCGAGGCCTTATTCCCCCAACATCCCGCGGCCTGGCGTCCCGCCCGGCAGCAGCAGGAATGCCAGACGAATCATCGCTGCCTACATTTTATATTTCGCTGTCCGTGTCTCAAGAAGGACCGTGTCTCAGCCCAACGAGAAGCATCTGCCTCCGAATAAGTAAACCCACCCAACAAAAGGGAAGCGAAGGAAGTGCCCCGTGTCTCACAAGGGCTTCCAGCACATATCAGGAGAGAAATCACTCCACCGTGTCAAGCGGCAAATCGCCAGTGCTGCTGGTGGTGGTGGTGGTAGTGGCCTGCAAAATGCAGGGATGGCCCAAACGGCCGCCGGCGAGGTGGGTGCTGGCTGTCGTGTGGATGGTGAGGGTGCTGGTGAGGATGCCAAGGCGATGGATGAGCTCAAGGAGAGCTATGCGACGCTAATGGAACGGTGAGCGATAGAGGAAAGCTCTCTTGATTGGTTGGTTGACGCATTCATTCTCTCTACACCGCATTGGTGTCTGTCTGTCTGTCTGTCTGCGTGTGTCGATGTGTAGCCGGGTCGTGCCTATATATCGTGTTACTCTTAAGTGGAAGGATTGCCAAGAGTAACACGATATGATCTGAAGCGGGTCGACCAAGAGTCCGTCGACCCGCTATCCTATTCTGTCTTTCGATGGCGCCCCCTATTCTGTCTGTCGATGTGTGTCTGACAGCTAGGTGACCCATGTGATAGGAATGTGCTGGGTGTGCGAGTTGCCGGGAGTTGCCTCTCTTGTGGGAGTGATGGATACATTGCTTCCTACGTTTTCTGCGTGTTCGCTGCTCGCATTCGTGAACTCGCTGCATGTGGAGAATGCTGACTGAGACATGTGTGACGACATGTGTCCTGTCAAACAGTCATCGATCAAGCCGCTACTGTCTACTGTGCCCCACGAGAACAACCATCCTTTGCGCACGTGCGTCCCATCAAGCCACAGCCCCTCACCGCGCTTGTCGTGACGGCATGAAACTGTCAGTGACGCGGCACCGGCACGGTCACCCGCATCTGCTGGACAGCAACAGAAGCGACCGACCATACCGAGACGTCCAACAGATACACGCCATCATGAACAGCCAGGAGTGAACCCATTTCCACCACACGAACCACAATCCATCCATCGATCCATCCATGCCCATGCCCATCATGCCATCACAGTGCCTCTGTCTTTCTCAACAGCTCACAGCGCAACACAACACACCACGCCACACAGATGAATGCCATCCATTACCCACTGTCATCCCCCCTGTCTCGCTTTTTGTCTTTCTTGCTGCGTTTCTTGTCCTTTTTGCGCTTCTTGTCCTCCCGCCCGTGGTGCTTCCGCTTCTTCTTGTCCTTGTGGTGGGAATGGCGCTTCCTCCGAGACTCGCGACCTGACACCAGCCAGTGACACACATACATGAGCGTGTGGGAGTGTGTGTTTTGATGTTGGTTTGGGCTTACGGTCAGACGAGCTGTCTGAGCTCTCTGACGAATCGGACGACTCATCTCGCCGCCTCTTGTCGTGGTCTCTGGGTCTCTCCTCGTGAGCGCGCTTCCTCTTGCTGCCCTTGCCCTCAGCCCCGGCGGTCTCGTCTCTCCGCTGCCCCAACAGCGCCTCCTCCTCCTCTCCGTCTGGCGGCGCCTCCACCATGGCGTACTTCTTGGAGCCAGCCTTGCTGCTTGCATAGCACTCATGGGCCATGTGACCAGACCTGACAGCCACACACACGACCAAGGTGGCAGACGGATATCCATTGTTGTGCATTGGGGTTTGAGTTGGGAGGTGGGAGCGTACCCGCCACATCGAGGGCAGTTTGTGTTGTACACAGCTCCAAGGCGGATCCTGTCGCCGCCACCACCGCCTGGGCCGCCTCTGCGGTCGTCGGCATGAAGGTTCTCGGGATCTGACAGACAGAGGAATGAACAAAGCACAGACACTTGGCCTCCGCCGGTCGCCCACCCACCCACCCACCCACCCACCACCCACACTCGCTGACCTTTGTCTTCTCCGCGCGTCTGCCCGACGTATCGCATGTCGACGCCGTAGCGGCCGTCATCCTCGACATTCACCACCTTGACGAATACCTCGTCGCCCACCTCCAGCACGCTCTCGATCTCCTCGATCTTCTCGTGCGAGATGCGGCTGATATGCAGCAGACCGTCACGGTCGTAGCCATCGATCTGCACCAACGACAGACACGACGGACACAGAGGAGAGGAATGCAATGCATCACTCATGCAGCTGCAGATGGCCGTGGTGTGAATTTGTTGTGTGGCTAACGCTGATGAAGGCGCCGAACGGCTGGATGGTCTTGACCCTGCCCTTGTGAATGGTGTGCAGCCGTGGCGGCTCGGTATTGCCACGAGGCTCCCTTCTCCCCCTGCCGCCCTCTGTGTCGCCATCCTGCCCGCCTCCTCCCAGCCGAATCTGGTTCGCACCAGTGGCGCTCGAGGGCGGGCCTCGCGACTCTCTCCGCCCACTGGCGTGAGCATTGTCGGGATCTGACGACATGACAGAGGGACAAATCGCCTGGACGGTATGTATATTGGTGTTGGCTCGGCACTCACCTCCGTCTTCGCCGTCCTTTTGCCCGACGTACCGCATATCGACCCCGTACTTGCCATTCGGCTCGACATTCACCACCTGTGGAATACACACACATGCACGCACACACGCGATGCGTGTTGAGCTGTCATGCGACTGGCTGTGACTGGCTGTTTGTCGGTCTCACCTTGACGTACACATCATCGCCGACGTGCAGGACGTCCTCCACTCTCTCTGTCTTGTCTGTGGAGATCCGGCTTATGTGGAGCAACCCATCGCGGTCATAACCGTCTACCTGAACACACACACAGGCAGACAGGATACGCCATTACCCTTCGTGTGCATGGTGGGTGAGTCCATCGGCTCACTCTGATGAATGCACCGAAGGGCTGAATGGTCTTGACCTTCCCCTTGTGAATGGAGTACAGCGGTGGCGGCTGGACGTTCCCGCGAGGCTCGCGGTCTCTCCGCCCTCCTCGGCCATCGTCAGCTCTACCACCAGATGGCCCGTCACGCCGATCTCTGTCCCTGCCTGATGGGTGGTCACGGAATGACCTGCCGAACTCCCCTCCGAGGAACCCGCCGCCGAGGCCATCGAAGTCGCCTTCCTCTAGATCCATCGATAACCACCTGACGGTGATAACCACCTGACGACTCGGAAGCTCGCATCCGAAATAATTTGCAGGCAGAAATTATAGTACAATTGAGGCTGCCTGACTGATGACGTTCGGTATCGCCTTCACCGTCGAATTAGCGGAGCAGTTCTTCATCCTCCACAACACGCTAAGATGCCTGTAAGCAAGCCAACACGCACAAAGATGGCCGGGCCCTGCCTGTGTGTCCGCACTGTGTGTTCCCCGCGGTTGATTGCAGTCACGACGCCCCGCCATTGGCGTGGGATTGGTACGTGGGGACGTCAGGGCAGCAGTGGGCGGACAGGGGGATATTCGAGCACTCAGAGTCATACCAGCTGGAGCCGCCCGCAGGGCCAGCCGGAGAGAACTTGGCACTAGGTGACCGACCGCCTGAACGGCTGGCTGGACCACTGTGCGGGGGCGCTTCGCATTGGTGATGGCGTGATTGTCTTTGTTTGAGTCAGGTCATGAGGATGCACTGAAGGCGACACAAGCGTGGTGAGGGCGAGATGGGATGGGATGGCATTGACACGGCATGGAATGAGTGTGTCTGACAGGTACGATGAGGTGGAGCAGTGGACGCCAGGCAGCGGCTTCTCATCAGGCACGGGGCACTTGTGAGCAACGAAAGGCACTCACACAGATCGATCACACACACATAGACACACACACCCCCAATGGCATACACATACACGTACCCCTTGGCAGCACGGCGATGGTGTGGAAGGGCGCCAAGTCGTTTGGCTGTGGCGTCAAGACCGATTCATCGCGGGGCGGCACGCTGTACGTCTGCCGATACAAGGGCGATGACGAGCTGGGCAAGAACACACCCAACATGCGTAAGCGACAAGGGAAGGCATCGATGGATGGATGGATGGACGGGCGTGCGTCGGTTGGCCTGCACTGCAATGCACTGCAGAGGGCTACTTTGACGAGATGGTTCAGGAGAGGAACCCTGACAAGACCGAAGAGGCGTGCCGGCAGCAGACTGAGGAGGAATGGGGTATGCCCTGCACACCCACCACACACAACCAACACACAACCAACACACACAACCATCTCTCCCCTCCCTCATCATTGTGCTGTCTGTCGGTCCTTCTGTGTTCATTCAGTGAAGCTGCTGGAGGCGGGCATAGGGGTGCCACCGTCCCTGAGCACCTTCGAGCAGAACATGCTCTCGCCCCTCCGCACAGCAGACGCGTGTGCGGGCACAGGCGTCACACCACAGACTTGTGTCAATCTCAACCTCCGACTGAAGAAGTACCGGACGACCTTCGAGCCTCTCTGCGCGTCGGACGATCCGCCAGAGAAGGGGTGCGGCACACTGGGGGAGATGTGCTGCCTGAGGTGCAACCTCAACGGCAACGATCCTGAGTACACCGAATGCCCAGCAGGTCAGTCAGTCACCAAACTGCTTTTCTGGATGGATGGATGGATTGGGGGTGCCCTGTTTGTGTGTCTGTGTGTGTGTGTGCAGGTGAGAAGGGTCTTCCGACAGAGCCCAGTGAGCACTTCAGTGAGGAGGAGTGGGAGCGGATCATCGGCGAGATAGGGCGGGGGGAAGGAAAACTGCGGCACATTGACCTGCGGCAACCTGCACCGCTCTCCTGACGGAGGAAATTGACCAACCAAGGAGAGAGGGAGGGAGAGAGGGAGGGAGAGAGGGAGGGATGGAGGGGGGAGGCGGGCAATGCTGCCCCGCCCCGTTGGTCATTTTTGCGGTGCGTTGGCGTAGTCCTTTTTCGTCTCCTTTTGGTCAAGCGGTCAGGCAGGCAGTGTCCCACAAACGTGTCTGTCTTTTGGACACGGCTTGGCTTGAATTCAATGTCGATAGACCTCACCCACCACACACACACACACACATGGTCACAGTGTCTGTCATGCTCACGTGACGTGCAAACACCACCAAGAGAGTGAGGGAGAGAGGGCGAGGGATGATGGTTTTTCGTAGGTGTCAGTCAGTCATTTCATGTCGGTCGTCCGTCCGTTTGGTTTTTCCGTGCACACGTGCGTACAGTCCACTTTTTGGTGAGTCGACCCTCTCCATCCTTGTCACACATCGCTGTCTGTCTGCCTACCTGCCTACCAGGTGTCAGTCAATTCGAGCCTTTCTCCTCTCATTGATTGTGTTGTATAGCCCATATTTCCCCCCCATGGCCCCCTCCCCCTCCCACCTCCATCTGTCTCACTCACTTGTCTGTCTGTGTAAGGTTGGTTGACACGCCGATCGGATCCATCATCAGTGGGGGCTGGGTGGGTGGGGGGGAAAGCCGACTGTCGTCCGACAGGCCGACATGTACAGTACAGGGCATTCACTCGCTGACTCACTCACTGACTCACTCCCTCACTCACTCAGTCACTGCATTTATACGGACGGCCCTTGTCGTGGTGTTGTCATGTTTGGTCTGATTTGGTAGTCAATTGTAGCCGGCCGATTCCGCCCAACAGAACAAACGACACACACGTACAATCAATGGCTTAGCAGACAGAGACAGAATGACTCGATGGCCCAGGTCCAAATGTCTGTATGTCCAAATGCACACACGTACACGTCTGCCTATCACACAAACACAAACACCATCAGCGGAGGGAGACAAAGGGGCACATAGCATAGCCATCCATACCATCATCCACCATACGACTGGCTGGCTATCTCCACGCAGCAATCACCATAGCAGCCACACTTATCATCCCAACCACAGGGGAGAGGGCGCCAATCCGCCGTGTGGCCGCGTCAGGCGGCTGCTGCAGTGCCTCATTGCAGGGGTAGTCGAGCAGCCCGTCCTGCATCCCGCCGTAGGGCATGCAGTTGCCCGTCCCCTCAGGGTCACACTTGCACACAAACGGGTAGTCGTCAGGGATGACTATCGTATACCCCAAAAGCGCCCCCGTCGCGCCACTCGCAAGACCTCCAAGAGCTCCGGCAAGTGAGCCGATAATCTTGGACTGAGATTGCGATTGAGACTGTGATTGCGACTTGGCGGCCAGCTGAGACCCCACTTGTGCGAGAGCACCGCTTCCTCTGCTCTCTGCCCTTCTCTCATTGTTGCCTGACGACGATATGCCGTCGAATGCCGGGCCGAGCACGCCGCCCGGGCCGCCCCAGTAGTCGGCCGCAATGGCGTAGTACCGGTTGTGCCTTCCCCTTCTGGCGCGGTTTCGGTAGTGCCGTCTCCGGGGTAAAAATGCGCCGTGCCTTGTCCGCTGACGGAAGAAAGATGACGTGTCGTTGAAGGAGAAGAGGTCACGCAGTCGGAGGACTGACAGAACGAACAGAGAGAGACACAGAGTGCGTGGATCGGTCCGGTTCCAGCCACAAATGGGCAGTAAGAATGAATGTTGTGTCGGTGTGTCTCTGTCTCGTGTCGCTCTTGCTTACATGAGGGGAGGGATAGAGACAGCCTCTGGCTCCACTGCTCCTCGGCGTCGACAGGCTGCGGCATGGCCGGCCCCACCTGCCCAGATGCGTCGATGAACGCCTGACCAATGGCAGGAGCCGGCGCACGGCCGTCGTTCCAGCCAAAATCCTGCTGCTGTGTGCTGCGATGGGTCGTCCATGAAGGGGCTTGCTGGTGGGGGTGGTACGGGGCTGAAGTCAACCGATGAGGCGAAGTTGAGTAGCCCCAATGTCAGCTGACGAGTCCCTGATAGTGAGAGAAATAAAGGGATACCAAGCATGCGTGTGTCCTAGGATGGTTGGTTGCAGTGAGGGATGCATGGTCGCAGTAAGTACCTATTTTGGGGTACAGCGGGGCGTACTCATGGTCCCTGGTGCTGCCCAGGTCCCTGTCCAGCGACACTGCTGTGCTCATCCCCACCCCTGCAATGCGTTGCAAACAACCACACAACAACAACAGGAGAGGGAGTCGACGTACTTGCAGTGCAGTGGCCGTCTGCTTTGTGTGTGGCTGGAGGGGCTGCTCACTCTGAGTGAGGAGAGCCGTGAAGAAGAGGACGAAGGACGCCATTCGAGGAGTCACCTGTTTCGTGCGAGCTAGTAAGCCCCGGAGGAGGAGCCCAAAGATCTGCTCTGAAAAAGGCAGCGCTGCATCAAGCAACGATGGGAGATCGCGAATACATCATCACAGGCGGCTATTGCCACCCCCCGTCAGACCCGGCGTCCAGCACTCACGCCCGAAGCCGCTTCAAAGGCAAGTCCATCATCGTCACAGGAGGCGCCGGCAACTTCGGCAAGGCATGCGCCCTTCGCATGGCGTCAGAGGGCGCTAAAGTCGCCCTGTTCGACCTGGTGGACCCCAGCAAGGCCAAGGAAGAGATCCAAGCATCGAACCCCGGCTGCACCGTCTTGGGTGTGCAGTGCGACGTGACAAAGAACGATGAGGTCGAGAGGGCGGTGGCGAGCGTGAAAGAGGCGTTCGGGCGGGTAGACTACCTGTTCAACAACGCGGGCTACCAGGGGGCGTTCAGGCCGCTGCCCGACTACCCCCCTGACGACTTCCGGAGGGTGCTGGACATCAACGTGTCGGGCGTCTTCCACGTGCTGCGGGCCGTGAGTAATGTCATGAAGAGCCAGGAGCCACAAGGTCGCCCACCCACACAAGGAGGGAGAGCGAGGAATGGACCGATTGTGTGTGTGTGTGTGATGGGTGGTTGTTCTGCGTCAGGTGGCTCGATAGTTCAGACGGCGAGCATGGCGGCTCACTCCGGCCCGCCCAACATGGTGGCATACGGCTCCTCAAAGGCTGCTGTCCACCACATGACACGAATCGCCGCCAAGGTGGGCCGGTGGGCAAATACCGACGCTCCCCACGCGCCATCAGCTGACTGTGTGTGTGGGTGGGTGGGTGGGTGGGTGTGCGTGTGTCAGGACCTGGCCCCCCACGACATCCGTGTCAACTCAGTTTCGCCTGCGTTCACCGGTCCTGGCTTCATGTGGACGCGGCAGGTGGAGCTGCAGGCCGAGGCGGGGTCGATACACTATGGTCAGTCAGTCGCGATGGATGGAGCCAACTCCCACCACACCACACAAAGAGAGCCATCCATCCATCCATCCATCCAGCCTGTGTATGTGTGTGTGTGTCAGATAAGGACCCCAAGGTCGTTGCACAGCAGATGATCGGATCAACACCCCTGAGGAGGTGGGTCGAAGTGACACACACACACACACACACACACACAGAGAGAGAGAGAAAGAGGGAGAGACATTGCAAGTGTGTTGCTATATCATGAACGTGCGTGTGTGTGCGTTTGCGCGCACAGGTATGGTTCTGTTGACGAGGTGATCGGCCCCGTGACCTTCCTGCTGAGTGACGACGCCTCATACCTCACCGGGATCGATATCCAAGTCACGGGCGGGATGAACTAACTGATCAGCTGACGGACTGACGCACCCACCTGTTGCCGAGAGAGAGAGAGAGACAGACAGCCAGCCGATGCGATGTCCCGTTTTCTGTCCACTTTGTGTATCTGTTGTGTCTTCCCATGCACTCACTGCACGTGTATGTGTATGTGTATGTGTGTGTGTGAGTGAGGCGGTAATTCATCATTCATTCGCGAGGGCAGCCCAGCCTGGTAGAGAGAGAGAGAGAGAGAGAAAGAGAGGTCTGTCGTGTCGTGTGGGAGTGAGGTCTTTATGTGGCGGTCGGCTTGCGGCGAAGGAAGGCATGTGTCTGTCTGAGATGCGAGGCTGGACGGGATGGCCAGTCGCTTCTGTTGCGATCCAGCAGACGCGGTTCACCCTCCACCCACCCACGTGTCAGTGACAGGTGCTGCATGCCTCTGTGATTCGTGATTTCAGTGGCCAAGCTGAGGGCGTTCCGGTTTCCGTGTTATGTGTGTGCGGAGCGGCATGTGTGGTGCTCTCGTTGGTCTGATGCGTGTATCTGTTTACGAGGAAGACCTGCAGGGTGGGTCGCATCTGCTGTCCAGCAGATGCGGGTCGCCGTGCCGGTGGCCGCCGTTGACAGATTCATGACATCAAGACAAAGTGACCGATGAGGGACTGTGGACACACACGAGTGAGACACAAATCAAACTGAATCAGGCAGGGAGAATGGGCATTCAAGAGATCAGTCATGCGTGGGCAGATCTGCAGAAGTCTTGCCATTCGATCATACACACACACACACACACACACACATGCACCTACACATCCGTCGGCTCACCTTCCGCCCACCCCTCTGTGCCCGTGTCTGCACAGCAGTTTTTCAGTCTGCAGACGATGGTTCTGCCCGTTGTTTTTCTCGGGCTTCTCAGCTGTTGCTATAGCTATTCAGCTCCATTCTTTAAGCGGTCGCGTCACTCGCAATGGAGAGAGAAGAGAGAGGTCTCACGAATGAATGGCATACACAAGAGAGAGAGACACGGTCAGTGAGTGACACAGAACATCGGTACGTGGCTAGCTATCTATGTATTTACAATGGCGGCCGCACCGCCCCCGTGTCTGGTGTCTGCCTGTCCATCTCATCTATCTTATCTATCCACGTGCGCTTGTCTCTATCAGCTACGCCTTGGTCTTCTCTATCGCGTTCCTCGCAAGGTGGAAATGCCCAACCAACGCACCCAACTGCACACACACACACACACAAACACGCACGCACACACACACGCACACACGCACACAGAGCACCACCGACATATGAGAGGCCTCCCAGTGTCGGCCTGCGCGAGTGGGCGCGTGCCTGTGTCTTCTCCGTTGCGCCCTTGGCGAGGGCCGCCCTGATGTCGCCATACACAGCACACACACATGACGACGGTGTGTGTGTGGTGTGCTGTCTGGTGGATGGGGGCTCACTCACTCTATCTCGGACAGGCTTGAGAAGAGGGGGAGTCGGGCCGTGTTGGGCATCTGGGTGCGGGACAGCTTCTCAAACACCCCTAATTACCCACACGACCGACACGACTCATAGAGGCACGCAGGGCAGGGCAGGGCGGTGTCAGTGTGTGTGTGTGTGTGGTGGCCTGACCCTGAATGACGTCAGTGAGGGCATAGCCGCACCGCGCACACACCGCATCGATGTCTGACCAACGACACATACACACACACACACACAGAGAGAGAGAGAGAGAGAGAGCAGAAGATCAGTCCTCGTTGCCTTTGCGAGTGTGTGTGTGTGTGTGAGTCACCTGTAAATGCGTCCGAGAACGTCTTGGTCATGAGTGTGTCGAACATGCTGTCGATGTCCGTCTGCAGGGGCGTCCCTGACCACACACACGCACACGCACACACCCGCCCATCACACAGGTCGAGGAACTTTCCGCTGCCTCGCCCACATGGATATACCTGTGGTGAGGTACACCGCATTCTCGTCGATGCGATCGAAGGCCATGGAGGCCGCCTGACACACACACACCCAGACACCGTCAGAGAGCAGATTGAGTGGATGGATGGATGGATGTGGTGGCAAGCGAAGCGGCCTGTCCTGTCCACCTGCATAATGTTGAGGACGCGACGCATGTCGCCGCCGCCGATTTTGATGAGGGCTTGAAGGCCGTCCTCGGGGATGGTGAGCCTGGCAGTCAGTCAGTCAGTCAGTCGGGCGCACACACAGAGAGAGAGAGAGAGTGAGTGTGACAACACGGTTCCCCCCCTCCCTCTCTCTCTCCCTCCCTCTCTGCCAGCCCACCCACTTTTCCTCAGCTGCGATGTAGTCGATCCGGCCGCGCACGTCGTCATCAGCCAGGGGGCCGAACCGGAATCTGACAGACAGAAGGCAAGCAGACAGACAGACAGACACACAGACATTAGGCGTCTGTCTGTGTGTGTGTCAGCCTGCCTACTTGGTGCATCGCGACTGGAGTGCGGGTATGATCTTCTGCACATAGTTGCATATCAGACCGAAACGGGCGTGCGCCGAGTACTGCTCGATGACTTTGAGACACAGACAGACAGACAGACAGACAGGCGCACAGACAGACAGCGCACGGACAAGCCGTTCGTTCATGTGTTGTGTTGGTGGGGTGGTGGTCGGTTTGTGTGTGTGGGGGGGGGGGGGGGG